TCTGTGTAGGACATTTTCACTTTTCCACATGGAACTTTTACCGAACTCTGAGCCTGGTTGTACAGATCACCTTCCACAAACAATGCTAGGACTGCGTGTTCAACTCTGAAATTATATTTTCAATATATTCAATTGCCAAAGTTTTGCTGTCTCTTGGAAAAAAATCCATGAAACCATGTGACCAAAAAAAAAGCATTCTCTGTTGACAATGAAGGATAACTGTACTGTAGACTATTCTTACAGTAATACTTTCCTGACTAGGGATATGATCATTTGACTGCTCAATGACTGTATTTACAGTTCCCAGGGTTTGTTATTATGATAGGAACAGTCTTTGCTATATACATTTTTAAAATATTGTCCTATTTCTCATTCTGGAACTGTTGAAAGAAAATGTACAGAATGGGTCTATTGCTCATCAGCTTTATTTTTTAAACATACCACTTATTTTGTTGGAATTGTTAAAGATTATATTTAGATTTCAATGCTTTTGTTAAATATTTACAACAGTAAATAGTTTAAATTCAGTAAAAACAACAACAACAACAAAAACAAACACACTCCAAAACACAAAGCTACAGTGATAAACAGCAGAGTACTGGGTTGGGGGAAGATACTGCAACAGTGAAACAGAATAGAGAATGCAGAAACAACTCAAAGTAAATTCAGCTACTAGATCTTTGACATAGGGGCCAAAAACTTAACAGTGGAGGAAATCAGTACAGAGGTTCTTCAAAATGCTAAAACTAGAAATTCCATTTGACCTCACTATTCCTCTTTTAGGTATCTTCCAGACAGAGTTAAAGACATCATATTACAATGATACATGCATTCTTGTGTTTATAGTACCACGATTTGGGGGCCAGGGATTTAGCTCAGCAGCATAAGCACCTGTCTTGCAAGCCTGCCTTGCAAGTATGTGGTCGTGAGTTCGAGTTCGATCCCCAGTAAGATTACAGTAGCAAAATAATAGCTACTGGAGCAAAACAATAGCCTACATGTTCATTAGCAGATGAATGAATAAAGAAAATGTGGTTTATAGACAAAATGGAATACACCTCATGCATAAAGAAAACAAGTCATTCCTAGAAAAATGGATATACCTAGAGATCATACTGTTAAATGAAATAAGACATAAAAGCTTAAAGATCACATGGTCTCTCTTATATGAAAAACCCAGAACATAAGTGAAAAGCAACGTGAAAGACAACAGGGAAAAAAGTAATGGAGGGAAGAAAAGAAAGAAAAAAATGCAACCAAGAGGGAAGGGAGGGGAATGGGATATAAAAAGAATTCAACTCTTCTCTATGAATGTAATCATTATGTACTGTAAATTTTTACCAAGAAAAATTAAAAAAGAAAAACAAATTAAAAGAAATAAATAAACTTTAAAAATTAAAAACCAGCTTGCCTCCCTGGTAAGCAGCCCTAAGGGGAGACCCACCAATGTCTCCCGAGATCCATGCCATGCTGGAACTTAGGGAGCTGGGAAACCAAGCAACCCACTCGTCTCCCTGGTAAGCAGCCATGGCTCAGGCAAGCAGCAGCTGCCCCAGGGAGAAAACCAGCCAGCGTCTTCCGAGATCTGTGCCACGTCGGAACTTAGGGCGCTAGGAAACCAAGCAACCCGTTCCCTCCTTGGTAAGCAGCTATGAGCCTACTGGCATGCAGGCTGAAAATCAGAAACCCCTTTCTCCCCTTAGCAAATGAGAGTCAGAGGTCTGAGCATCTCTTGGGAGGTTCATCATATGCAATATAGCAAATAAGGGGAATTTCCTTCCACAATCACTTTGAAGGCAAATATTGTTATCATTGTTTTGCTTTGTTCTGATTAATTGTACTGCTCTATTCAATACTTTTTGATAAGTTCTTTAATGTTCTGTAATTCATTTTATTTTGCTATCTGTGATTGAAAAAACAACTACTATTGTGAAGATAATGAGATATACTATCGTATGTATTACTGTTATCCCAGTAATCTGTTGTGATGTTCTGTACCAATTCCACTGCACTGTCTCAATTGGCTTTTTTCTGTCTTGTTCTGTTGTATTTCACTACCTTCAGAATAATAAAAAAAGAAAGAAAGAAGAAAGAGTCAGAAGATGACAAGGAGGAAGAAGGTGAGGAAGAAAATGAAGATGAAACATAAGGGGCTGTCTGGTAATGGCATGTGGAATGTATGTGTGCTCAAGCAATTAGTTTGCTAACAATATGAATTCAAGTGCAGTTCAATATAAGCTTAAGTTTAAAAACTGTACGTATTTTTGAATAGTTGATAAAATTCTTTGTAGAAAAAATGCTTTAAAAAAATTCAGGTTGGGAAAAACAACCACACCTTCCTGTGAAGGCGCTACACCATGGGGATCGGGAAGAACCTCAGCAAGAAGCAGAGCCACACCTTCCCATGAGCCAGCAGTGCTCGGGCTGATTCGGAGGACTCAGCAGGTGAAGACAGCAGCTGAGGCGAAAGAAATAGCTGGATGTTTGTACTGTTTCATTGACTCTGCACGCCGGGGGTTTGTGGTCTGCATATCTACTTATAGGACGGCGGTGTGCACTGTGGCAATCGTGGGGGATTTCCTTCTGACTTGTTTTTGAAATCCAATCTTTTATTCCATTTTACTGCTTTGTTTTATTCCTCTGTCAGGTAATCTGAGTAAGTATTTTGAAGATAACAATGTGCTGCATCACAACCACTGTCAAATTCCTATTATCTTGTTTTAAAAACCTTAATGTATTTTTTTTCTTTTGTTGGTGTTGTTTTTTTCAGTTTGTTTGCCTCTTGATTTTTCTGTTTTTTCTTTTTTCTCTTTAAAATAAAAAAAATTCAGGTTGCAGCTTTTTGAGGGGCTACTACAGTTAGATTTTAAAGCTTTTGATGTTGAAAGTTCTTAAATATTTAATGGGATGGTAGCACAGTAAATTTGCAGGAACTAGTACTAACAGTAAGTTTGGGGTTTTTAGGATGTTCCATTCTGCTTTTATTTTTTAATTTGTAATAAAATTATATACATTAAAAAATTACAAAACCAAGAGGAAAAAAATTTCTGGATAAAAATCTATAATTCTATCTGAATACAATGAACATCAGTATTTTTGAAATTTTCCTCACAGGTTTTTTAACTACATATTGTTAGCCCTTCTTATTTCTGTTTTCTATATCTGTGGATTCAACTAACTTCAGATTAAATTATTTGAGAAATAAACATTTTATATAACGAAATAAAGGTTAAAGTTTGCAGTTCGTAAGAAACTTACTATGAACTCACATAAGTTCATAGAATTTTTATCAAGGAAGTCATGAATATATAGTCATGAATCTATGTAAGGCTTAATTCAAGAAATACTAAGGTACTTATTTGTGACTATTACAATGAGAGCTATAAAATAAGTATGCAAAATAGATATAAAACTCATATAAAATACCACATCTATAAAGCTCATAAAAAACACCACATCTAACACTTTGGTAATATGCACCAAGACACATATACATATGGGAGATATATTTTTAGCCTAATTTTAACTAATTTACCTATCATTTAAAAATTATTGTAGGTTATTTGATCCTTAGCACAAAAAAAGAAAAAAAGACTATATGTAAAATACCTAATTTTACATATTTTAAAATTTTCTTTAGATTTGCTCAAATATGCATGTCAAAGATTTATACAACATACACATTTGATACACATTAATAAACATAAATATGTAATATATATTTAAAGTATCAGATTACACAATAATGTGCTAAAAATATAACTAAATGTATAAAGATTTTAACATATGGACGAGATTAATGTCAGGTGTGCTATAAGAATCAGAGAAGGTTTCTTCCAAGAGGCAGTTCTTCTCTATGTCTCAAAGAATAGGTCCAGCAGGGGCCAGGGATAGAGCTCAGCGGCACAGCACCTGGCAAGCACAAGGTCATGAGTTCGAGCCCCAGTACCAAAAAAAAAAAAAGACTAGGTCCAGCTACAGTGAAAAGGCACCATTAAGAAGCTGCTTTGGGGGCTGGGGATTTAGCTCAGTGGCATAAGCGCCTGCCTTGCAAGCAGGCAGTTGTGAGTTTGATCCCCGGTACCGATAAAAAAGAAAAAAGACAAAAAAAAAAGAAGCTGCTTTGGCCAAGGGAAAAAGTTTACTAAGCAAGGAGAAAAACACATGTTTGCAATCTCCCTACTTATATAGCTTAATGCCTTACATAAAAAAGCATTCAATAACAATGACTGAATGAATAAAGGAAGTGGACAACACACTAGATCTTATCTTGTGGTCTCAGAATAAGTTTTTCAGCAGAGGAATGCCTTGATGAAAATGGCAGTTTTTTTTTATAATCTTTTTTTTTTAAATCTTTTTATGGGTACTGGGGATCAAACTCATGACTGCCTGCTTGCAAGGCAGGCGCTTATGCCACTGAGCTAAATCCCCAGCCGAAAATGGCAGTTTTATAAAGACTGATTTGGAAGCAATGAAGTCTCCCAAAGAGATTACTCGTGAAACAAATGCAGTAAGTCTTTTACTTCCCTTTCATTTTCCTTAACTTTATACACATATTTCATATATAGTTTTCTTAATTTTGTAAATTCTTTGAACAGTAGTTGCTTCTGACATGGATGACTCCTTTACACTGTTTTAATGCAACAAAAACTAATGATGCAGTTAATGATTACAGGTAGCACACACCTGTAATCCCAGTTCTCAGGAGGCTGAGGTGGGAGGATCACTGTGTGTTTGAGGCTAGCCTGGTCTATATAGTGAGTTCAAGGCCAGCCTGGACTGTATTTCAAGACCCTGTCTCAAAAAACAAACAAACAAACACTAATGATGCCAGGAAAAAGCATGTCACAGAGAAAGGCTTTGTAATGCAATCTGTCTCTGACTCATGAATGTTTATCAGTGTCAGGTAGAATCTCAAAGCAATAAATTGTACTGCAAAATAACCTGTTATTATCTATGGTATGAGAACCACCTCTTGTAAGATTCTGGCTTTCAGATACCTGACAGTGCTTCTCCCCTTTGCAAAACTTCTTCAATATTGGCCACCATGATCCTCTGCACATCTTGTAACTCGGTGTTGATGGAGCCTAAGTTTCTCCGGGCACGACTGTCAATGTAGAGCTTCTTCGTTTTCTGAATGAAGGTATCTACAACGATGAAGAAAAGCGACCCTTAACAACTTGTTTCTGTCTGCCAAAATAATGAAGTTGGGAATCAGAAGTTCTCAGTTTATTCCTGGATCTGTGACTATCCAGCGTTTAAACACTTGAGGAGAATATGAAAACCTGAACCTTGGTTCTCTCATTTATAAAATGTAAAGATTTGAATAGATGACCCTTCAGGAGAAAGCCCTCTGGATATCTTGAATTAGAAGATTTACTATCAGAATCCTTAGGGAAATTAAAATCCACTGGTGTAAGTCTTTCTTTCTGAAAATAGAAAATTCTAAACTGTATTTGAAGGATTCTTAAGGTTGTATTACTTAGGGCTAATACCTTCCCTAAAAGGATACTAGCAAAAACCCTCTACCATCATTATAGCTAATATAGTTGAGAAATATTCCACTGAAAAAATATTTTCTTCAATATACTTTCGCAATGTGGCCTTGTCCTAAACTTCAGGTAAAACAAAAATGATACCAAGAGTTTCCCGAAATACCAATATAAAGCTGAAGTCTCATTCATCTTTAGCCCATGTGCTTCTCAAAAACTAAAAGAATGATTTATTTTTAAAGATATTTTCAACTTTGCTAACATACAAATTTATGTGCATTGGACCCCTTTTATTTGCCTTTTTAGATGCCCCTTCTTCCCTTTAGGGTCTTGCTTTTCGCCTTGGGAGCCTAAACTATATGGAGCACCTTAATGGGTTACTCATCCTCTAGTTTCCAATTAAGATCAGGCAATAAAGGAACTGTAACAGTAGGGAAGAAGGAGGGTACACAGTAATGTCAGGATATTTAATCTAATCTTCGCATGAAATGACTTTGGGCAGACAGTACCCCTCTAATGCTCTTCTCAAGTTGGTCTCTTCTATAAATGTTCTTTCGCAGGTTCAAACAAGCCTTTCACTTAAATCTTTAGGCCTGGGGATGGTAACAACTAATGTGTTACTGATCCCAGGTTACTCTATGTTTGGTTCTCTTATAGTCTATTCTTATCTTTGTAAACCACCACGCCCTGTAAGCTGATCTGAGTGTACCATTAATTTCCTGTGTGATACATTTTTTTCTTTGTGTTTACTGAGCTGTTATTATCTATGAAAGTAAACTTCAAAAAACTGGACATTACATAACTTAGCACTTCAAGAGTTCACATTTATGAAATACTAGAGTGTTTGTCAATTTCCCTCTATTTCTATAAAAGCAAGATGGGCCACTTATCCAGCAAACTTGAAACACTTCAGAAAGTCTAAGATAAAAAACGTAATTTCTTTGTATATTAAAAATATCAGATGCAACCTAATCCTACTTATACTCATTCTTCATACTAAGTGCTTAGTGTATTCAGGACATTTTCTTTAACCTACTGCCATCAGATACTTTATTAGGCCTTACTGGCATTGAGTCTTTTCGTAATTCTTGTATAAATACAGAAATCTATGCTTGTTACTTAATATAGTAAATATTACCTTCCAACACCAACTATACTATAGATCTTCTAGTACCGTTTAGTAGAACTTACCGAACTAAAAAAACAAAAAACCCCACATTCTTTCTGCTTTCCAAATTCTGATTTCCATAAAATGGGTCTTATTGTCAGTATGTATCTACAGGATAACTTGGTTATCCTGATAACCTGGACAAGAATCAAGCCAAGGGACAAATCTTATGGGGAACAATTAAATACAAATTCTGTGGTAAAGAGTTCAAACTAAAGAAAAATCTAATTCAAAAAGACAAAAAGAGGAAGAATTGGAGAGAAAACAGAAGCCAAAATTTTAGCAGTAAACATCAGGGGAAAAACTAATGTAAATCTGGTATAGGGTGCACACCTGACATCCCAGCACTCAGGAGGCTGAGGCATGAGGATTCCTGTGAGTTCAAGGTTTGCCTGAACTACACAGTGAGATCCTATCTCAAAAAAAACAAAAACAAAATAAACACATCATTATTAAACTAGTGTAACAAACAGCTTCATCACAGTTTAATCCTTTGAGAAGGAGCAAAACTTACCAAATTCAATAAAGGAATATGGTCTAGATACAGTGGGCACCTTCTTCCCATGTTGTTCATCAAATTCTGAATGTAAATCTTCTAGGTAGGCAAAAGCCAACTTTTTAGGGAAGGCAGCTTCACACAAAACCAAGTAACACACTCCCTGTTCAATAATGTAGCTGGAAAGACAAAAAAGCAAGACAAAGTTGTCTGTAAAGCAACTATAGAAAGTGATTAAAGCAGATAAACTTCAAAATACTGTGCCTAACTCTTTTGAGACTGGCTGACTCACGTCAATTTCAAACTCTGTCCTTAGGATTAGAAAACAAACCTCTTTCCATAATAAGTATGTCCTTAAAGTAGTATTTATTTTTGTGGTACTGGGGATTGAATTCATGGTTTTTCACAAGCATATCCCAGATCTTTATTTACTGGACAGAGAAAACTGCAATCTCAGAATTCATAATCTGCTTAATTTCCAGGTAGGAGGACTCTATAATCATTGGAAACTATCTGACAATAAAACTGCAGTATTGTGTTAAGTGAGCTCCCTAGCATTCTGGAAGGAGCTATATGACTGCATGTATGACCTATTCTTGGATAAAGCTTAGGCTACTAAGTGACTTCTAAATTTCTTTTTACTTATAGTATTCTTTATTTTGGCACAAAATTATATTCAGAAGACTAACGTGTCTAGCAGATAAAATCAGACATTCTTTAAGTAGGAGTTTACCAAAGTATTACTTAAATTCCCATCCTCATTCTTTCTATATGCCTCCTGAGGCATCCTTAGGCTCCATAGAGGATAATTTAAAGACTATTACATGATCTCAGTCTCCTTAAATAATATTAATAACATTACTGCCCTAATACTTGCATAAGCTCCTGAATTAATTGGCCTCCTTGCCTTCAAGCTATACCATCTTCTATACTACTAGTTTTATTCCCCAAAAATATAGAGGACCATATTGACCAGCTTACAAATTCCAGGGGTTTTCTGATACCTATAAAATAATATCATATTCCTTAATATTTATAGTGTATCTTCTAGGAAGATATCTACAAGGGAAATAGCTGGGTCAAATGAAATTTCTATTTTTAGGTTTTTGATGCATCTCCACACTGATTTCCACAGTAGTTGTGTAAGTTTACCTTCCCAACAACAATGCAGAGCTCCTTTTTCCCTGTATCCTGGCCAGCATTGGTTATTTCTAGATTTTTTTTTTTTTCATTTTTATTGGTACCAGGGATCGAACTCACAACTGCCTGTTTGCAAGGCAGGCGCTTACGCTGCTGAGCTAAACCCCCAACCCCCTATTTCTAGATTTTTTGACATGATCATTCTTTGTGGGATAAAATGGTATCTCAAAGTAGTTTTACTTGCATTTCTTTAATATTCACAATATTTCTAAAGGATTTATTAATTACTGAATGAGTACAGGATTTATTACACACAGGTTAAAATACTATAAGATAAAGTCTTCTTTACTTTTAAAAAAGTGTGACCATATTGTGGTCACACTTTGTAAGATTTTATATTACTGTCTCTCATATTTAAATGATTGTAAAGAAACCAGGACTATACTCACTGAAAAGTCATGGCTCCTGCTTCCAAGGTGCATCTCGTAGGGGATTGTTCATTCAACTTTCGAAAGAGTTGCTTAGCCTGACTCTGATACTGTTGAAGGTCTCGGCCAGACTGAAAGAAGACACTCTCATTTAAGATTTTTTGACAGAAAGATGCTGAATCAATCAGCAAGAAATATGATAATATGAGGGTACTATGTTAAGGTCTTTCATCTACAGGTTAATATGATTTGTCTTGATAGAAAAATTGCCTACTTTTAGAACGAAAGAAGAGACCTAACATCTAGATCTTCAAAAAGATCACGTTTTTATTTGCTAAGAAGCAAAAATGTGTATCTTAAACACACTGAAGGCACTCTCAATGTTCTTTCCACTATTAGGTCAGTACCGATTGCACTTTCAGTTACTAGCAGAGAACCACAAAGCATATGCTGTACTCAAGAGAAAACTCTGGGAACAAAAGACTGTTGAAACTCATTTTTATGCTAGAAAGTCAAGCAGAATCTTCTTCAGAATGTTGCATCATTGAGCATGTAAGCAAAACTGAATGTGTATACATGTGCACAAATTACAGAAATATTGACTGTAATTATGTAAAAATGAGCAGGTTAGAGCAAAGACTGGAAAGTCAAATATTCTTCAATGCATATCTTTATTCAGTTCTCACGTATGGATAGCAAGTTTGAATAGTGAAGGATATATGCAAACAAAAATAAAAATATAATGACATTCAAATAATATAGATACAGATAATATTTCTCTAAGTACTTCTTAAATGCTTTTACAATTAAGGGGGGGGTCCATTGGAGAAAGTTGTGTACGTTTTTTTTCTCTGTACTGCTAGAGCTGTATACGAAAGTGCTTACTACTAGAGTAATGTCTTTTCAAAAGAAAAAAGTCGTTATCTTGTAGCCTAGTAGACACAAAGGAGAAAAGAAATGCATGAAGAATGTGCAGCCAATAGATATTGCTTATTCATCCATAAACTGGTCAGGTCAGCAATAGTTTGAATGTTTGCTTCCCTTCCAAAATTCATATGCTGAAATCCTAACCCCTAAGATGATAGTTTCAGGAAGAAGAACCTCTGGGAAGGGATTAAAGTCATGAGGAACCCTAATGATTAAAATTAGTGCCCTTATAAAAGATCCCAAAGTACTAACTGTTTTGACGTTTTAAGGACCCAGGCATCTGTGAACAAGGAGTAGGCCCTCACCAGACACAAATTCAGCTAGGCCCTTAGTCCTGGGCTTCCCAGTCTCAAGAACTGGAAAAATAAATTTTTTATAAGCTACCTATATTTGTGTTATGGAAAGAAATAATTATCCTATTTCGGATTTATTTATTTTGGATTGGAAGATAGAATACAGTTTCTTTTTAGCAGATTTTAATAATTAAATGTTGAAAAAGAAGTATCTACACTACATTCTCCCAGAGTCTGAGTTCCAAGGTCTAACTTTGAGAAAGTATAAAGTAAAACCTTAAAATTCTAGATAGTATTTTGCTGAGCTAATAATAAAACCAAGGAAGCAATGAAAAATGATACAAGTGGCAGATCAGTGAATGTACAAGTATACAAAGACAGTGAACTGGAAACTTTAATATGAAAAGGAGATTAATATATATGAGGCACACCATGGAAGCCAAGCAGAATCTACTTTAAGGATTAGCTGTAGGTTTATTTTCTTTTAGCCCTGCTGTTATGCAAATCATTTGCTATATAATGCTACTCATTTAAGAAATATTTCTGTGTAACAATATGCATGTATGTGCATATACTTTTATATATTAAACAGTACTTGGCAATAATTAACATCATAAACATGTCAACATTATCATATACTATGGTTTATATCTAAAATGCCCCCCAAAAGCCTCATATATTTAGAGATGGAGCTTTTGGAAGGTGATTGGATCAGAAGGCATACACTCATGAATCAGCATGGCATTGGGCGAAGATGCTCTGAGGAAAGTTGCCAGAATAAATAGGTGGAGAAGAAGGGAGGTGTGGAGGGTTGAGGCGTTAAGGAGGCATTGTGGGTTCTCCTACGAGTTCCCGTCTGAGCTGTTGGTTTTCCTGGAGAAGCTTTGGTGCTCACATCGAGCATTGCTTCCTAGCTCTGGAGGGGAAGACATGTGCTGCTTGGTCTCCAGGATGAACGCGTCATGCTGCTTCCTGGCACACACCTGACTGTGCTTGTCATCGGAGGAGCTCGGGGCCTCTGTGTCACTGAGGACGGCTGTGGTGCCTTTCAGGCTAGCCCTGGTCTTTGTTATGAGTGCGACTTCTCGGCTCCAGCATAGAACCCTCATCCCACTAGCACAGCTCCTTCATCCTGCTGGCACAGACTTTCTAGCTTCCACCGCTGACCCTTGGGTCTTCTCGGCACAGATCCGTAAAAGAGACTGGCATGAGTCCTTCTTGTGGGCTCTGGGACCTCCAGTTGGACTCGTGGAGTCACTGTCCTGAGCTCTGGGTTTTTATCTGGACTCGTGGGACACTGCTTGTGGGGTTTAGCTCTTGACTAAATAATCTATGTCTTTGGTGTTGCGGATAGATTTCCTGCATTTTCCTGTGTTAGCTTCCGGTGACCATTATAAAAATAGTATTATAAACTCCATGTCCTAATCCTAGTTGTTCTCTATGTACAACCCCTGACTACAACACCAGCTGAATGTGCTGTTGCAAGGCAGAGCCTGACTGAAGGAGGCAGAGAGCTAGAGGCACCCCTTTGGAGGGTGTATCTATCTCCCTGGGCCCTCCCTTTCCTTCTCTCTCTGCTTGACGGCTGCCTTGGGGTGAGCAGATTTCCTTTGCCATGATGTTACTGCCTCAGAGATAGCCTGTAAGGGACTGAATCCTTTGAAAACTGTGAGCCAAAATAAACCTCTTTTTCTTTAAACTGTGGCTGTTGGGTATCTGTCGCAGTGATGGGGAAGTGGACTAACGTCATATTAAGTAGTATGCCATATGTATGCATGTATATGTGTGTATGTATATATACATATTTTTAATCTGTGACTGGAGAGACAGTAGTACATAATAAATAGTACTGTTTCAGCCCGTAAGATCTAGCCACAATCTTACTTTTAAATTTGAATGGTACTTATCAACCTATTTGCTTTGCCAATGCTATTTGCTTTGCTTTTTAACCACAAGAAATGATGGCCAAAGTATGCTACAATACCAGCAACTGACACAGAAGAAAGAAGAGTCTGCGAATGTACAATATTGGGGACATATCTTATGTAAAGATTATGGTATATCAATCAATATTTTACAGTGCTATCTCAGCATTACCATTCTGAATATAACACTGACACAACCTTTTTGGTATATTCATGATAGAATATTATGCAGCTATCAAAATATTATAGTATAATATTTAATGAGACCATATTCTTTATACACTATTAATGGAAACAAATGAAGGCAAACAATTTTACAGTATTGCTCATTATCTAATTTTATACATATACTCTCATTGAGTTTAAGATCATACATCAAAAGGATATAGTTTGGGTACAGATTAGAGGTAAAAATACAACATTTGGTCTTTTTTGCTATACATATTGCTAAACTGTTTAAATAAGTATGAATTAATATTATATTGAGAAAACTTACTCATTCACTCATTGCTATTCATTGCATATTTGCACCCAGAGTATTGTGTGCAATTGCGGTTTGTGAAACTTAAGGTAGAAATAGAAAAGATTCTTCTGAAGTAAGCAAATGAAATTAAGCATTCACTTTCTGCCACACAGTTCTACACACTTTATATGTTAACTCACTTAATACTCACATCTACCCTCTGAGGTGATTCAAATTATTATGCAGTCAGGCCTGGTGGCACATGCCTCTAATTCCAGGACTTTTATTCAAGAGGCTGAAACAGAAGGATCTCGAGTTCAAGGTCAGCTTGAGCTACACAGTGAGTTTAAGACAAGTCTGTACAACACAGAAAGATGCTCTTTTAGAAATGATCCCTGAAAGCATAACTTTGGCGCCCTTTTAAAAACAAACCAACAACAACAAAAACAACAACAAGAAGCCAATTTTAAATTTGAGATGTTATATTTGGCCAAGGACTCTAGACTAGTAAGGGAGGACCAGAATATGAGCCCAGGCAATCTGGCTCTGGGGCTCCTTCTCTAAATGTTATGCTATTCCACTTCTACATTTAAAATTGTTTTAGTAAATGTATCTTGCTACTGTACTGTCCTACAACTTAATGTTAAATCTTATTCATAAGAAATGCTCAAGTAACCATGTGGCAACTGATTTAGATCTCACAAAACAACATAACCACCACTTTATAAACTGACCTTTAATGGTCAGTCATGGAAAGCGTACAGATAGCCCACCTAACAATATTTAGATGTCCTGTTTCTTCTACTTCATCAAGAACAGATGAATGAACTTTAATGATATCTGTTAGTAATCCAATAATAAAGTGCATAAGAATAACTAAACAAATTGGGAAACAAATGAGTTTACCCAACAGTATATTTAAGATTTGTCTCTCTTATATTACAAAAGATACAAGGCAATAATTTGCCACACTTTTCATTGTCCCCACCTCGAACCTCTGGACAACTACTTCTATCAAGTATCATCTTTTGCTTTTCTAAGGGCTAAGCTCTTACTTAAAAATCTTTGTTGAACTCAGCTGGTCTAAGGCCAGTGGGACCAAGAACCAACCATTTTCCTCTATGAGCAATTATAATTATCAACCGTAAATGACAGGGAACACCATGCACTTTAACTGTACAACAAACTTGTTGCTTGTTCGGAGCAGCCCCTTCGTGTTTATCCAGTTAAATTGAACACCTTTATGTTTGAGCTGCGCAAAATTAAAGAAAATATAATAATTCTGAGGTACAACAAAGGTGGATGAAGAAATTGCAAACATCCTAAAAGCAAAGCATACCAAGATTGGAAAAAAACCCCCCAAAATAGGCTATTATATAGGGTGTCTAGGTGTGTGAAGAAAAGCTTGTTTCTCCACTTGTTTTCAGCCTAAATGTCTAGTTAATTACAGAGGAAACACTGGATATAAAACACTGTATTATTTTGTGAATTTTACTATTATCTGAATAACTTTTCATTTCTACTAATAAGGCAGCTAGTTCAGAGACAGGCACCTAATAAACATAATACTGTATATGGTATTTATATCGGTATGAATAATAGGAAGTACACCAAATTACTGGCTTGGACAATTAGGGCACTTAAATATACAACTATCTAGTGGAGATAATCTAGTTCTTAAAAACTTAATTCTGGAGTGATAAGGAGTAAATGTATCATCTTAAAACAAGTAGTCGAGTACAGTGTTAGGCACTAATGGCTGATTTTGCCCCCAAGGAGACATTTTGTAATATCTGGAATTACTGAGTTGTCATAACAAAGCAGAGGAGGGAGATGTTACGATCAACTGGGGGTAAAGGCCAAGAATGTAACTAGACCTCTTACAGTGCAAGGTACAGTTCTTCACAACAAAGAATTACCTTTCCCAAAATGTCACCTGTACTGACGTGAAAAAACCCTGCTGAAACAATTCACTAATTATTAGTTGTGTGACTTAAGCAAGTGATCTATTTTTTATAAGACTCACAGCTTCCTAATCTATCAATAGAGATAATTCTATTCTAGTATGGTTGGTATGAAGATTGAATAAAATAATGCACTTCGGCTTAGCACAGGGGTTAGCATGTAATAGTATACTATAAATGTTTCATATATAAGATTAAAGATAAGTCTAGAGTTATTTTCAGATATTAAACATTTAGCAAAGATTATTATTCAAAATTAAAATTCCTAAAGAAAAATATGATGGGATTTACAATAGCAAAAATATTTTTTGTGTGTAAAATTTCATCCCTTGTCAGGGAAACAAAGCACCTACCTTGATAGATCTATTACAAATTAAGAAACAAACAATAATAAATCAACTACTTTTTCAATGAAGTATCAAGGCAGGAGATAGAAGCCCACTAATATTAATAGACTTTTAAATAACTTTGTATTCTTTGCTGACATTAAAATTCAATGAAAAAAGTTGGAAAGATCAGATGACTAATCTCTCCACGCCACGGTCACCCTTTATGGGTAAAATATTTCTCATATCAGTTTCCTTTCAAGGAAATTTGTCCATACTCTCTCCCCTGTTTAAATCATGTTCTTGGGCTTATTTGAACAAATTACTTTCCTTCTACAGAATGGTCACAGAAAATTCTTTAATTGGAAAAGGAAGAAAAACATTTCACAGTTGAAAAATTAGTGTATTATGGTTTTTCACAATATATTTGAATGATTAGACTTTGTTTTGTAGAATGAATAAAATATTTTTACTTAGCATGACCTGCAACTTTACCATCTGTAGCGCTATTTTAAAAGTGAAAGACAACGTACCACTAACCTTCAAACCTAATATGGCATTAACCCAAACAGATGAGCCCCTTTGTACCCCGATCCTATGGTCAGCTTGGAGGTCATTTCTTTCTTCTTTTTTTTTTTTTATGTCATTTCTAGAAAAACTTTACTGATTTTAGATGTCTTTTCACATTCAATCCTAGAACCCTCTTCCTCTTCCCTAACAATTCTATTATATTACAATAGTTTGTTATCTGACTTTTCCAACAAACTGTAAACTCCATGAAGGCAGACTCTGTCCTTTAATCCACTGTGTTAACATGCCTGGCATATCTGATGTACTCAAATCTATTTCCTTCCTTTCTTTTTGCATGAATAACATAAATAAAAGTCTAAGAAAAGAAATGTGTAATTTCTTAACCAAACATATCCCTTTTAAGTAACTATTCTACATAGGCTGTATGAGAAGGTGCTCTTTTATCTTTTGTGGCTGGAGACTATCTGTGGGAGGAAATTTTTCCTGAAGATGCAGGTAGATTTTCTGTTATCTGTTCTTTTTAGAAAATGTTTTGGAGCCCCAAAATGTTTGGCTAATCGTGATCACCCAGACTTGACTTTTTGGAAACTTACCCAAAATTTAGGAGTTTTAATATTCTGCTGCTAATAAAGCTACTAAGGAGATCACGAAGGGCTTCCCGCATCCTGGAAAGTAACCTAGTGCTGACAGCACAGAGCTCTCGCAGGGACGTGGGGGCAGCGGAGGTCTAGGAGCAGCTTACCTGTTCATCCTCCTGCATCGACGCGGCCAGCGGGAGCCCGTCCGCCACTCGGGCGATCATCGTTAGCAACACCATATTCACTGGCTACGGGGACCCAGTAGTGGCCCTCACTGCCGGACGTCTCGTTCTCACTTCCTTTGGTAGTAGGACAGTAAAACCTCTACCTCAATTTCCTAAGACACAAGCGCCTCGGTCTCCGCTTCCCGCTGAGGTGGCCGGAAGCAGCCCAAGAGCTTTCCACTACCGGTCCCCAGAAAGCACTTCCCTCGGAGAACCTCAGCCACGGAAACATTAGTTCCGGGCTCTCTCCTGCTTTCCTAAGCTCCCAAAGACCGCCTACTTTTCAGAATTTCAACCTTCCAACAAGCCCTGCTCCTTAGGGTGGGGTGGGGGTGGGGGTGGCACTCAAACTGAAACAATTTTCTAGTTTCTTGGTACTTTTAAATTTGGGGAGAGGGTTGGAAAAGAGAATGGGGGTCAGTGGGTCCTTAAATAAAATCCATGTGAAGAACTGAAAATTGGACTATTTTTCATATTTATTTTTTTCTGTTTTATAGAAAATTTATGTCATATATTCATTGTTTTCCAAATTTGTATATCTTTAGGCATATTTTGAATTTTTGCTTGATTGGTTGTACAGTAAATATTTATTGTATGTATGAATAAATGAACAAGCACAAAGAGCTCAGAGGTAATTCAGGTCAGTCATCCAACCAAAATCTGGGATCCCAGCTACATAAGCATGATATGCAGCCTGGTGGTTTTACTAGAATTTCCAGACTGGACATTCACTCAGTTTTGTAGTAATTTCTATACAATTACATGTAAGGAAGTATTCTCATCTTTCTGTTCTTTAGTATCTCCATCTCTAATATAAGCATATTATTGGTCTCTTGGGATTTTGTTTATATTAAATAAGAAAATGTTGCATCAGGGATTTCATAAACTAAAAAAAAATGAAGTTATGTAAATGTATTTATCATTACTTACATTAATAAAAACTTTTCTAAAGTGCTTACAGTTGGTGCTTGATTTAATAGAAAATATGTTAAATGCTTTCCAAATACATATTAATTTAACCAGACAATCCAGTAAGATTGTTTAATATAAGGTCCCACTTCATAATTGGTGAAAAAATTTCTGAGAATAATTTTTCGAAGGCCATGTAGCCAACGGTGATGAAAGCAAGTTTTCAGCTCAAGTTCAACTCCAAATCCTGATGTAATTATAAACTTTTATCCATAAGTTAGAAGACTAATGCTTTTATTGTCAATATGACTTTATGACTGATTCTACATGGAAGATGAATTGCAATAGATAAGACAGAAAAACTAAAGGTGCTATTTACAGAGACAATAAGGAAGTGTAATGGAAAGTTATTTTTGTACATGGGAGACTAAGTTCGTAGAATCATAGCATATTTAGAATAGCCTGTGGATTGAACGTTTTCTCATTTTCCTTCCTTCCATTGAGGGATATGCCTTTCTTCTACCACAGCCTCAAATAATGGCCATCCAGCCTCTGCCAGGATAATTCCATAGTGGGAAGTACTTTAAGGAGGCTGCCATTTGGGTCAGAGACATGGAGAGGGAAAAATGTAGTAGGTGTATGTATAAAAGCAGATCTGGAGTAAGAGAATCATCATCTTTTCAGTTTCTGACTCTAAGTTCAGGCATTCCTAAAGTCATATGGATTTCTACCCTTGGGTTCTATTAAACATCATTCTCTGTAACACGGCTCCCTTTTTCCCCCTTAGGCTACTTTGAATTAGTTTCTGTTACTAAACAACAAAATATTTTAAACTAATATACTAATGCAGAATTATCCCACATCAACCTTTCTTGTAACAAAAACATTCATACTTGAACTTCTTTTTCATTGTAAACATATTGGTGATGGTTCTCCTCAAACACGCTGAAATTATTCCAGGAAGAGGCCTGTGGTCTCCTTAAGCTGCTGAGTAGCTATGAAGAGGAGGCTAGAAGGATCTGTCTGGCCTAATACACAGCAGGAACGCTGGCATCTGAGTCACTTGTTCTGAACTTGATCTCATGCATCTCATTTGCATCCAGGTTTTGCCTTTGAGCTCCTACCCTTTGATCCCTTGAGCAATGCAGGACTAGGTAGCAATGGTGAGCACTGTGATTAGTGCATGGGAGGTCCTCAACTATTTTAAGCTGAATGAAAAAATTACCAAAAAACATTTGTTCAGAGTATTACAATGAACATATTTATGTATATACTTTGTTTGCCTAAACCTAACAACAACCTAGTGAATGAGTAAAATTCAAGACCTTTTGAGTTGGTACCTGTGGCAGCAAAGATACACAAAAGCAAAGTGTAGTTACAGCTATCAGCAAATTTTGAAACATCAAAGAAACTGAGTAATGTACATTTTAAAATCAACTTACAGGAAACTGCTAAAACAGGATAAGACTTTTTATTATAGCATAATCAGATGATTGTAGAGATTTGTATAAGTAGTATCAAGGGACACAATAGGGGCTTGAATCTGTTGATTCTTAAACAAGTCTCACATGCCTAATTATATGCTAACCATTGAATTAGTAATAAATATGAATAAATAACAGTGTTAGCAACCTGTGTCCCATAACTACCTACAAACACTGCTGCTTGGAAGAGGTCTGATGTGCTATATATGGTAATTCCTGTTTGAATTATAGTTATACAAACAGATTATACAAATGAAAAAAGTGTTTCTCAGGAAATGGTGCTTTTGGTTGACAAAATACTTACTATATCTAGATGGATACCCTACCACATACACAAGTATGGCTCACTGGTTGTTTCTAAAATGGAAACACGTCCCTTATTTCTAACTACACTAAATTAAGCCTTATAGAGATCTGTACTTGTTAATTCATTTATCACCAAAGACCAAAAGAAAAGTGAAGAAATGCAACAGACCATTTCAGAAGATGAGAACAATATTAGAGTCTTACAAGAAAAGAATATAGAGGTGAAAACACTTGTACTCACTGTTGATAATGAACTTAAAAGTGAAAAGGAGGAAAAATATTTAAAAGAATAGATTGTTTGTTTGCAGCAGTAACTTTCCTTCAGAAAAAAAGAGTTTAACTTACATATAGAATCCTAACAAATTCAGGCAAATTATGCTGAACTAACTGTGCAGAAAAATATAAATCAAGAAGAGGGGAAAAAGATCATGAAGTTCTTGAAGAGGACAGAAATTGCTACAAGAAACATAACGGCCATGTTTTCACAAATAAAATGATTGCAGACAAAAATAGACGAACTGTGTTCACTTGATATGGTTTCTCAGATCTCAAATGTGGATTTACTCAAGCTCAGGACTCAGGCAAGTGGTCCTCAGGAAGAGAATTTGCCAGACACACAGTTATACCTTGTAAGTAATTATTTTTTTAAGGAAATATGCAGGTTAAAGAATATCATATTCAAGAACTCAGTTGGGCAAGTTCTTTACCCACTAGTTTTAAAGCCATTTGGAAAGAATGTAAGGAAACTGTGAAGGCTTCTTCCAAAAATGTCATTGGATCCAGGAACTACAACAAATTGAAAATTAAAAGCAGAAACAAAAAGTTGTAGGAATGAAAACAAAGTGAAAGTAAAAGCACAGAGAGGTTGTGCTAAAAGTCCAGCACAGGGGGTCAAGAATCAAGATGACCTACAAAAAGAAAGAGAAAATCTTACACAGCAGCTGAAAGAAGAAGTAAAAAAGAAAAATGTCAGTCATAATGTTCAAGTACAACTTGCGTTGAAGGAAAGAAAGCACTTTCAGGGTTACACAAGATATTATTTGTTGTAAGACAAAAATAAAGGAACTTGAAACAACCCTAGAGATTCAGAAAGATGTAGTCATTTAGCCAAGTTAGAGCAAGACATCTTGGTAAGAGAATCTGTAATCTTAAAACTAGAAGAAAATCTGAAGGAATTTCAAGCAAATCTTAAGGATTCTATCAAAAACATCAAACATTTAAGTGAAAAGGAAGTTAAATTGAAAGAAGAAATCACATAGCAATCAAATAATTCGCACCATCTGAAGCATTTATTTCAATAAAAGGAAGAAGAAAAAGAAGCCAACAGACAAGAAACAGAAAAATTGAAAGAACTCTGCAAGTTCTGCTCTTGCCAAAGTCCGATAGATCTTCAGAGAAAGAAAGATCATGCTGAGCTGAAACAGGAACTGATAGCAAAAAGCAAATCGAGCAAGTACAGAAAGGGGTATCAGTAGTGCCTGATAAGGAGAAATTACTGAGGACTAAAATCAGCTGGAGAAAAAAGAAAAACCAGTGTTCTCAGGAAGTAGACCTAACAGTGAAGCATGCAGCAGCTCAAGGAGCAGTTCAGTAATCAGAAAGTGCAAGAAGCTATACAGCAGTATGAGAGCATGTACAACGATCTAACTATTAAACAGAAAATGATTAAAGATGTGAATGACACTGGGGGAGCAAGAATAATCTGAAATAGAACAAGATCAAGTGCCCGAGGCTAAATTGGAGGAAGCAGAATTGTTGGCCATACAATTGGAAAAATGGAAGGAAAATTGCAAAGATCTGTAAACCAAAAATAATTGTAAGTCAAATAAAAATTTTGAGGATGACACAAACATGCTTCATAAAAAGCTCAATAAGCTTCAAGACAAATTACAGGAATGTGAACAGAAACAAAGCTAATAGAAATAAATGGGAGAAAAAATAATGCTTATCGCTCAAGCAAAAGAAGCTGAAAATCTACAAAACAAAGAAAGGAAAAAATAAGCTGACGGCTTCATTTTGTTCAAAGCAACAAAATGAAGTTGAACTACTGACAGCATAGTTGGCAGACAAAAATAGGGATCTTCAGAGTGAAGAGAAGATCAGTTGGTTGCTACCTAAAAATACACTTGAAAGCACTGATTTCCAGTATCATACAGAAAGATAATGAAATTGAACAGTTGAAAAAGAGTGAACCAGAGGTTTCTAAAACAGAAAGAAATCATGGTCATTAAGCCTAGACAGACTAGTTCAACAAATTTGGTCAAGGTTGAAGTAAACCTCAATCAACAAGTTTTGAAGTTTCTAATTATATAGTCCAGGATAGATCAGTGGTTCCTGATTCTTGTGAAGCATCAACAGAAAAAGAACAAAGTACTCAATTTCCAGAATTAGAAATTCAGTTTACACCTTTATTGAAAAGTGGCAGTGAAACACCCTGGTTGTACTATCCCAGTACCAGTTAATTTCTAAGGTCCAG